AAGCATTATCACCATCAGCATCAGTATCAGCATAATCACCAGCATCAGCATCAGCATCAGCATCAACATCAGCATCAGCATCAGCATCAGCAGCATCATCATCATCATCCTCATCCCCCTACCTCATCCTCTTGTTCTTTTCCTTGTGCGTAACTCCTCCTCGTCTGACCACCAGGCGTGTCGGCGGGCCCGGTCGGGCATTGCGCCTGAAACGTCCTCACTGTTCATAATTAGCCTCGGAGCTTGGAATTCTCAAGAGTTGCACGGGTGGACGGGGGATGGGGTGGAGGGGACATCCCGCAGTGAAAAGCTGTCGGGGTCCTTCGAAGAGGGGAATCTGGGGACGGGTGGGCGTCCTGCGGATCCGTGAATGCATCTTGCATATGCTCTGGTCCAACTCCTCCATCGGCTATACGCAAGAGTGGCCCTGGGTAAGAGTGACCTTTGGTGCGCGGCTCTTTGGGGGCCACGGGGGGACCAAACCTGGGCGCGCAAGCAGCGGCTACTGTTTCGTTTTCAGCCATCTGGGGACCCATCTGTGCCCGTACCAAACGTCACTCCAACGAAAGGTCACTCTTACGTCTGGTCTTAAGTCGGGCGTGTCCCCCTACAGGGGGATTTTCGACGAAATGTAAAACATGCCCAAACAATACTCGAAATTGGTCAAAACTTTTCAACAACTAGTCCCCGGACTATTTTTGTACTACTTTGAATATTCCCCTGTAGAGGGACAGGCCCGACTTACGTCCAATCCACTCCGGCTCCTTGTGCGCGATGGCGGCGCCGTTGGGCAAGCTGCGCGTGCCTTCCAAAAGGGTTGCGGCGCGGAAGCGAGAGGTGCGCGGGCACGGAGGACCCGGCGCCCTGCCCGAGCGCGCCGCCGAGGAGCCCGCTCCAGAGCGCCGCCGCCGACCGTCCAGCCCGCCCTCCAGCTGCTGCTGCTGCTGCTGCTGCTGCTGCTGCTGCCCCTTGCCCTCCTCTGGCGGCGCGCACACGGGGTGTGGAGGGAGGGGGGAGGGCTTCTTAGAAGGAGGCTGCTTCTCAGAAGGGCGGCGGCCCTGCGTCTACAGATAAAACGGCCCGCGCCCTCCGAGAAGCCGGGGCGCTTCTCAGAAGCCCTCCCCCCCCTGCGCGTGGTTGTCTGCTGCTGCTGCTGCTGCTGCTGCTGCTGCTGCTGCTGCTGCTCCCCCTTGCGCGTGGTTGGCTGCTGCTGCTGCTGCTGCTGCTGCTGCTGCTCCCCCTTGCCTCCCGCGCCGCTCGAGGCAACCCGCGCGGTCGGGGCGCCCGGCGGGCCAGGCCTCGCGGCGCGGCCTGCCCGGCCTGCTCCCGGAGGTGCGACGTCCTGACTCTGGTCAGCACGGGGCCCCTGGAAGTCCCGACCCCGTCCTCGGGACCGGCTTGTTCGTCCCGAGCCGGTTTTTTGAGCCGGTTCCTCCTCCTCCTCCTCCTCCTCCTCCTCCTCCTCCTCCTCCTCCTCCCCCTCCTCCTCCTCCTCCTCCTCCTCCTCCTCCTCCTCCTCCTCCTCCTCCTGGCCCGGTGAGGGCCCCCCGAGGCCGCAACTGGCCGAAAACCTCGCGCCTGGGCTCCTCCTGCTGCCGCTGGCCCTCCCGGCAGGCGGCAGGCGGGCCCCCCCGGGGGACGGGTCCAGGACCCGGGGACCGCCCGCCAGCCGAGGGGGCCGGCGGCCGACCGAGAGATCCGACGTCGCAGCAAGCGGCAGCGTCGCCAAAAATCAAGGCTGGACCCCCGCGCCCCATTTATCCTCCTCCTCCTCCTCCTCCTCCTCCTCCTCGTTCCCCTCCTCCTCCCCTCCCCTCTCCTCCTCCTCCTCCTCCTCCCTCCTCCTCCTCCTCCTCCTGCCCCTCCTCCTCCCCCCTCCCCTCCTCCTCCTCCTCCTCTCCTCCTCCTCCTCCTCCTCCTCCTCCTCCTCCTCCTCGTCTCCTCCTCCTCCTCCTCCTCCTCCTCCCTCCCCCTCCCCTCCCCTCCTCCTCCTCCTCCTCCTCCTCCTCCTCCTCCTCCTCCTCCTCCTCCTCCTCCTCCTCCTCCTCCTCCCCCTCCCCCTCCCCCTCCCCTCCTCCTCTCCTCCTTCTCCTCCTCCTCCTCCTCCTCCTGCTCCCCTCCTCCTCCTCCTCCTCCTCCTCCTCCTCCTCCTCCTCCTCCTGGGGCGCGGGAGCAAATTGAGCAGCGCCTCTGGGCCCCGACGGCCCCAGACCCCCGACGTCATGATTTTCCCAATCAGTGCTTGCACTGAAGGGGTCCTAGCGGAAATTGAAAGATCTGGCGAAAGTGTCCCGCCGATTCTGGTGGCCGGCTGGGTTCCCGGGATTCCCAATTCCGGGCTCCAAGGGTCTTGGTTATGGGTTCCGGGCCGATTTCGATGGGTTACGGGTTCCCTTGTTTCTGGTCGATCTCCTCATCGATCAAACCATCCACTGATTGGGGTTTTCCTCTGGTGCAATTCTGCATAATTTGTGGAGCGGGATTGATCTGTGAGGGTCCCCGGGCCCGAAATGAAGCAAAAACGCCCAGCTCGAAAATTGGATCGCCAGGACCTCAGGGGGAGCGAACTCGCTGGGTGCGACAAGAATGCTGCGGCGCCAGGATCTCGCGGACTCCCCTTGGCACTGCTTGGGCGGAGGGGGTCTTCACCTCTCGAGTAGGGGATCGACTACAGAATTGATTTATCCCAGAGGTGATTTCCTCGTCGAATCTACGAACAACACGTGGAAGGATGGACAGATCTACGAGCGTTCTACGTACTTGTCGTACATTCGACGATCACATTCAGTTAGTGATAAGCCAATCCTGCAATCGATCCCCTTCTCGAACCTCTTCGAGGAGACGACCCCCGATCTCCAAGAGGCGTGGCGACCTCCCCACACCTCCGACGTCATGTTTCGTCATGACGTCGACGCCCAGAGGTCATGACCCCTTCCCCGGGATCGGTTCTCCATCCCGAGCCGTTCATTGGAAGGTCCCGAGGCCTGGTGAAAGCCTCTGGAGGCCGAAGATAGCAACACAAACACTCGTGATGATGCTCTCCTGACACATGTAAGAGATAAACAGCAACACCCTGCTTCATGTTTTCATGACGGGGTGAAGATGTAGAACGACACCCTGTCCTATGAGGTAGACGCTCAAGTTGAGGATGACAGAGTTACTGATGACCACGAACCCACGTGGCCGAAACCATCGGATAAGGGTCAGTCAGCACTTCTCCAAATCTTGGCCGGAGGAGGTCTGACCATGACCTGAGGGGGTCTGGGTCCCTTGGTGGTGACCCCACTCTGATATCTACAGAGGTTAACTTACCGCGCCCACTGTTTCGTTTTTCCAGCCCGCCCTTCCTTTATCCTTTCGTGTTCCCTAACGTCATTTTCATAGAGAAGCCGCGCTTCCTCGCCCCAGATGTTGTGCTCCATTTTGCCGTAGGCATGACCCCGGTATTGAACCTGTTCCCGGATGGCGTTGTGGCCGCGAACACAGTGTGTACGACTTCCAGCATTGCTTTTCTCGGGCCGGGCGAAAGGGGGGGATAGCAAATGGGGGGGTTGAGAATCAGCTCACGTAGCTAAGTTTCCTGGCGCCTCCCGGCGCCGGGAGGCGCCAAAGTATCGAGGAATGGGCCCGGCGGCGGGGCCGAAACCAGCTGCATGCAGCAGATTTCGTAACCCCCCCTTTCCCTATCTCCCCCTTTCGTTCGGCCCGATTTTCGTTGTTTATGGCACTGCCTGGGCGGAGGAGGCCGCCAGGCGCGCGCGGATAGATGTCGGCCGGGGAGTGCGGGAAGGCCGCGTCCCCAAGGCCGCTGGCCGCGACGGTGGCCCGAACCTGGGCGCGGGCCCCCGCCCTCCAGAGGCGGAGGCGGAGGAGGAGGAGGAGGAGGAGGAGGAGGAGGATGAGGCGAAGGAGGAGGAGGAGGAGGCGGAGGAGGAGGAGGAGGAGGCGGAGGAGGAGGAAAACAAGGGAGATCAGCGCGGCATAGGGAGCGGACGTCCGTCCACCCGCTCCCAGACGAGGCGGAGGAGGAGGAGGCGGAGGAGGAGGAGGAGGAGGAGGCGGATGCGGAGGAGGAGGAAGAGGAGGAAGAGGAGGCGGAGGAGGCGGAGGAGGAGGAGGAGGAGGAGGAAGCGGAGGAGGCGGAGGAAGAGAAGCAGGCGAAGGAGGAGGAGACGACGTATCCATTTAGAGTCGAGTGACCACCATCCTCGACCTCAGAGCCCGCAGCGAGGAGGGGGAGGAGGAAGAGGAGGAGAAGGAGGAGGAGGAGGAGGGAGAGGAGGAGGAGGAGGAGGATAAGACGCTAGCTGGAACGGCCGCGCAATGCACAGACCGCCACATGATGATGGCCTGCGAAGCAGGCAGCTTACCATGGAGAGTGCCCGCGGCCCATCCTCGGGATCTCGGCCGAGGCATCGGCAAGGAACGTGGTCTGTAACCGTTCAGACAGAATCCAGCCAGGACGGAGCACGAGAGCCATGCTACACAGCCTAGAGGAACAGGCGCAGCCCACATTAGTACAAAGCGCTCTCAGCGCCAGGGAGTCTCAGCCAAGGAGTTTCGGAGTCCGAGGCCTCCAAAGGCCGAGGGCAGGAATGCGACGGCCGTCTGGCCTCCCTTCGTCGGCGGGATGGCGTCCCTCCAAAAAAGGTTGTCGACTGCGCAGGGCGAGGAGGAGGAGGAGGAGGAGGAGGAGGAGGACGAGGAGGATGAGGAAGAAGAAGGAAAGGAGGGGGGAGGGAGGGAGGGAGGGAGGGAGGCAGCTTCGTGCCATGTGCGCAATGGGTGATGTGCGCCGAATGTACGCCAGGAGTACCATTGGGCCTGGCCTCAAAGAGGCACAGGCCCACGTGATGCTTGAGGCGGAACCCCGAACCCCAGACCGTAACTTCAATGCCCCAACGACTCCCTGTGTGATGCAAGTGGAGACACCACCGGGCGCCCGGCCACTGCGACCACAGCGACACCGGCGGCCGAAGCCACAACCACCACGACGCCCACTACCACGACCAGGCGCCAGCGGCCACAGCCACGTCTAGCACGACCACCGCCAAAATCCTCCCCACGACCACCACGCCCACCAGCACGACCACCACGGAGCAACTGGGCGCGCAAAGTAACGCAGCCACGCTTACCGCGACCGCCGCGGCCACGACCAGCACGTTCGCCAACACCACGACCACCAGCAGGACCGCCACCAGGCAGACCACCACGACCCCCACCACAACCACCACGCCCGCCTGCACGACCACCACGCCCCCGCCTTATGCCCCCCCTTTCGCTTTTCCCTCTCCCTCCCCTCTCACTGCTGGGCCGCCCATGCTTGTGTCCTTGCACTCTGGCGTCGGTTATGCATTAACTACTTAGTAATTGAATCCTCAAATAATCTGCGTCCGGGCGACAGCTGGTGAGGGACCCGAGACCTTAACCCCAACGCCCGGGGGCCCTCCCGTAAGACAGGGGTGGGGACCCACTCGGGTGCCCCCAGGCCTTTTTGGTTGGGGCAAGGGGGGGAGGAGACCGAGAACGGGGAGGGATGAGGAAAGGAGGGAGGCGGGAGGGAAGAGGAAATGGGAGCAAGGAGGAAAAAAATGGGAAGGAAGGAGGACCGTAGTACACCGGGATGCATCAGCTACGCTGCCCAGTACAGCCTCGCCCGTTCCCAGGCCCGGGCGCGCCCCTTGAATGACGAAGCACTGGCGGGCCTGCCACTCAGGCTGGACTTGGGTCGGGCGTGTCCCCGCATAGGCAGATTGTGAACGAAGAATGAAAAATACCCCCAGATTGCACAAAACATATTTAGGAGGAAAAAGAACTATGCACATACACTGATTCTGGCCAGGCCCATCCTGAGCCCAGGATCGGTGCATACGCCCTCCTACCTTGGCCAGGAAGGCATATGCACCGATCCTGGGTCAAGGATGGGCCTTGCCAGGATCGGTGCATGTGCATAGTTCTCTTCGCCCGAATATTAAAACATAATCGCCAAATCGTCCCCAGAGCATGTTTGGACTACTTTAAAATATTCCCCCTGTAGAAGGACAAGCCCGATTTAAGGCTGGACCCGTGTTGTAAAGGATCCACCCTCCGCCACTCTGGCGAGGCGAAACGCAAAGTGGTAACAGGAATAACTCAAAACACATGTCCAGCGACAGTCTCGTTTTTTAGTGACGAATAGGAAAAACCCACTTCCCACATTCTTGACATACCATTGCCAACGGTCTTAACACATGATCCGGTTTTGCTCAGGAGCCGTCCTCCGTCCGCGCAACTGCTACACAACCTACAAATTCGGGCCACAAGCGAGAGCCGCATTTCGCAAACGTGCCGGTCTCCACTCTTCTAGCTGCTGGAGGCTTAGAACCGACGATGCTCGGTGACACGGCGTCGTTGCCAGTGGCATACCAGCGAACCCAACTTCAAGACTGACATCTTCGAAACCTGCTCCGTGCAGAGTTGCCCACTCCAGCTCCAGCTCCGTACTCGCGTCGGCCTGGCTGGCCGCCCACGGCGCCGCCTGCGTGGCGATCTGCGCGAACGGCGGGCTCCTCGTGCTCGTTCCAGTTGAGGAGGGTGGAGGGAGGAGGGAGGAGGGAGGAGGGAGGAGGGAGGAGGGAGGAGGGAGGAGGGAGGAGGGAGGAGGAGGAGGGAGGAGGGAGGAGGGAGGAGAGGAGGAGGGAGGAGGGAGGAGGGAGGAGGAGGAGGAGGAGGAGGAGGGAGGGAGGAGGAGGAGGGAGGAGAGAGGAGGAGGAGGAGGAGGAGGAGGAGGAGGAGGAGGAGGGAGGAGGAGGGCCTTCTTCCACTTGTCCTTCCACTGCTGGAGCACTGCGCTGCGCTGCCGCCCCGCGGCGGCCATGGCCGCCGCGAGGCCCGCCTCGGCGCCCACGTCGTGGCCGCGCCGAGCGTGGCCAGAGGCAGGGCCGACTGCTGCAGCAGCAGGACCAGCAGCAGGAGAAGAACGAGGAGGAGGAGGAGGAGGAGGAGGAGGAGGAGGAGAACGAGGAGGAGGAGAACGAGGAGGAGGAGGAGGCGAAGAACGAGGAGGAGGAGGAGGAGGATGAGGAGGAGGAGGAGAAGAACGAGGAGGAGGAGGAGGAGACCCGAACGTGTCGGCCCCTCCCGCGGCCCATGCCCGCTCCGCGCGCCCCGCGGCGCCCGTGCGAGACTGCCGGGGTGGGCCCTTCGTGCGACGGGGCCGGCGTCCACGCTGGCAGGGGGAGCTGTTCCTGCTGGTGCGTCCGTTCCGCCTCTCTGCATCGCTGGGGCTGCTCGCGCTGGGTGGGCCCTTCGTGCGACGGGGCCGGCGTCCACGCTGGCAGGGGGAGCTGTTCCTGCTGGGTGCGTCCGTTCTGCCTCTCTGCATCGCTGGGGCTGCTCGTGGGGGGATCCGCAGGTAAACGACCCGGCTGGAGAGGGTCTTCTGTTGCAGAGGGGCCTGGATCTACACTGCGTGGCACATGGCTCCTGTACAAGTCTATACGATAGCTGGTTCACACCAAAATGGCCCGATGAACGCAAACACAAAATGGCAGAGAGACGTTTGACCCCGAATTCCATGAAGCGTAATACCAGCTCAGTAAGCATTCCGCCTTCATACGAACCCACTTTGGATGTGCTGGTCGAGGATAGTCGATCATGATAATACACGTCTGCATACAATACGAGTGGTAGCATATTTGAGACGCAGTCGGTCATAGGTTACATATTGTGTGCATCTTTCGCATGCGGTTCATGATATCCATGCGTGTCTGACACGCCCGGCCATATGTCCCATCTTCCTCATCCAGTCACACTGCCAAAAGTACTCTAGGGATTTGGATGTGGTCCTCAACAATCTCGAGAACCTGGTATCCCGTCGGGGGCATTGTGCCAACACGCTCACGAGCTCGTGCAGTCCACCCGTGACAAGATTACACCGGCACCAGCTCCCACGAGATCGCGTGGAAAAGGAGCAATGTGTGCACACTGGTCTCCCGCTTCCAGCAGCCAGGAGGCTCGTTGAACATCCTCCTGCTCTCGACGGAACCATGATGAGGTGAGCTTGAGAAGGACCAGGTCTCCTGTCGCGGGTGTGCCGCCAGAACGTACCCCCAGACAACGTAATAACAAGCGAAGCTCCTGCGTGTGGTTTGCCGACGCCAAGCTGGCCTTGCCTCGCTTGGAACATAATCGTATGGAATGCGAATGATGAGGAGGCGCTCGAAAATGAGGATGAGGAGGGTAAAGAGGAGGATGAAGATCACGGACAGAGTTCGCGCGAGGAAGAACTGATCAAATTGATTCCTTGGCCTGGAAAAACCTGGTGTGAACTGCGTGTCTACTGCTTTACCTGAACGACACAGGCAATTCGCCGGCCCAACGGGCCAAAGGCGTGCTAATATTTCCTGCAACAACTTTAGAATAATTCTGGTTCGCGCGCGCGCGTGTCGGAAATCTTCTGACCCGGGTCAATCCAGACCCGGGTTAATCAGGCCTTGCAAAATCCTGCAACATCCTGCAAGATCTTGCGCCCAAACCCGGGTCAATGCGAAAGAACCTGCAAGATCCTGCAAGATCCTGCGCCCAAACCCGGGTCAATGCGACCCTGGCCGTGCAGGATCCTGCAAGATCGGGCGCTCTGGTTGACCCCCGTTTGCAGTGACCCCCGTCTCAAGGCTCCCGAGCGTGGCTGCCCCTGCGGTCTCTGGACGAAAACATGCCCCATGCAAGTCCCGGGCGGTCGCCGGGCTGTCCCCGTCCTGGATGCTAGAACTCTTGGGGGCTGCCTTCAGGGCCTTTAAGAGCGTCTCAAAAGGCCCAAGATAGGGCCAATAGGCCCAAGATATGGCCAAGAGGCCCCAAGGCGGCCTAAGAGGGCCAAGAGTCACAGGATTTCGTTCCGAGATGCCCAGGATAGCCCCCAGACGGCTTCGACCGCCTCCAAGACGCCCGAAGATGCCTCCAAGACCACTCCCAAGAAGCCCCCTAGAGGCAACATTCAACGATTTCCATTGGTTTTCGAAGGTTTCCAGCGTTCTCGCCTTCTCGGCCGCCGACGCTCTAAGACGGCGCAAGAAGCCCCTTAAGATCGCTCTAAGACGGCCCATTACGCCTCAAAACGGCCCACGGGGGCTCCAAGACGGTCCAAGTTTCTCCCAAGACGGCGCCGGAGAGCCCACCCCTCGAGGGGGAACCCCAACGGACATCTCGAGCGGCCGCGCCCAGGAGGCCGCAATGAGGCCTCCAAAAGAGAGCTTCAGAAGCTCCAAGGGCCCTTCGAGCCCTCGGTCCCGAAAGGGCGTCTAGGCTGCCCCAAGCGGCCCCCAGGAGCCCCCCAAGAGGGTCCAAGAGGCCCCTCGAGAGGCGCCCAGAGCCCCAAGAGGCGTCCAAGGCTGCTACGCAGGAACCCCCTGGGAACCCTCCGAAGAGACACAGACAAGTATCCATGAGGACTCTCACCCACAAACGCAGCAGCGCAGACCAGCAACGCCGCATGGCCCAGGAACGCGCACGCAAAAGGCCATCGACGGCACGATCCGGGCCGGCGGAATAAGCGAAGCGATGAAAGAACAACTGTCTGCCAAACCTGCGCTCGGGACTAGAGCCGCTTCTCGGGAGGACGAGGCAAGGCCAAAACGAAATCATGGGCACTTGTTTTTTATCGGCCCCTTGGCAAAGTATACACCTCCCTGGGCAAGCAACTCCGGACCGCAGAGGGCGCGCAGGAAACGCTGCGCGTTTCCTGTTGGGCCGCGGGGCCCCAGCACAGTGTTGCAGAGACCGTCTTGGCGACCATCTGGTGCACCGATCCTCCCTTTCCACATACTACGTCATCATGGCCAAGGGTGGCACGGACCTTGAAATCGCATTCAGCCCTTGAACAGAAAACATGCGGACGTCTTTCAAGACGACTGGGTGATTTCTGGGGCCGCCATAAAGTGGCGACTTCGTGTGGGACTTCCTTTGCCAAAACACTGACGATTTCGCTTTAGACTTCCCGAAAGTTCGATTTCCGTTCCCTTCCATGCTGCCGAGGTTCGGTGGAAGATTGAACATCCAGGGTCGATCGATGGTCGAAGATCGGGGATCAATTGAAGAGCGAAGATCCGGCGGTTGCTTCGTAAAGTGCTGGTCCAGACTTTCCAAATACAAGGGCTGGTAATTCAAACGCATGCGCAAGGACAAACCCTCAGGCCAGAATAGCTACAGTTTGGGCCCGCTGACACGAAACCTTCCACAGGAAACCCAACCCTGAGACCCT